TGTGGAACACAGCTGTGTGCAAGTGGCTGCCGCGTTCGCCCACAAATACACAGTCAATTCACTTTACAGTATGTTCTGTGAAGCGCTTTGGGACGTCTAGAAGACATGAAAAGCGCTATATCAAATGCAAGGATTATTATTATTATTATTATTAACCACACATCAAGCCTCATAGAATACCTGTATCAACTACAACTCTCTGTAAGAGTTATCTATTTCATCTCCCCCTTGCCTTTTTTCCTAAAACCTTTTATATTTACCCTTTTCAGATACTATTCTATTCCCTTTTAAAATCCTTCATGGATTTTGCTTCAATGACTGTTTGGGCTAGTGATTTCCTGTGTGGGTTAACAAAATCTCTTAGCCTTTATTTTTTTTGGTATTCATTTTCAACTTTTCATTAATGCACAATGAATATTGACCAGAAACCCCAAATACAACAGCATTGAGCCAAATGGTGCACCAGACCTCCCACCCAGCTGAGATTAACAACCAGTGGAGATCATGCATACAATATGGTCTGTATGACTCAGTTTCCTTTTATAACAGAAAAGACCTAGATAGCATTTCTAACTGGTTACAGTAATTTGAAGATTCTGGTATTCTTTGTGAGAGTGTGTGTGTGTATGTATGTGTATGTTGGCCAGATGCAGTATGCACCACAAATATTTGTGCAGAAACTATTCCTGTTACTTCCTATTTTCGGGAGCCTGAGTGCTTATGTTATGGCTTCAGTAAATGAGACTGGATGTTGACACCGACTCATCAAACACGTTCAAGGTGGGGGGCGGACGCACGCACGCCTGTTGATGCAATGTGTTGCTAGACAATGAGAATATATATTTGCTTTTGGTCATGGGAAATGTTTTTCCAGATAAAAGCATTTTCTGAGATGAGACACAGAAGGGTTATTTCAAGGGCACAACTGCCAAGAGTAAAACTGCTGGTGCTGGGAATCAGCAGAAAAGGTGGCAACACTGCTGCCATACATTGCTCCACGTGGTACCGAACATAGGATGAGAGCTATAAAATGGTTTCAGATATCCTGGTTATTTAAGATGCATTTTAGATTGGAGCAACAATCCTCCAGATTTAATTGGTCATTCACTTCAGAACCATTTGTAGGGCATTGGACTTAACATGTGGAAATCGGTTGCCACATTTGCCTGCAAAAATATTCACTGTGTATTCAGCAATATTTACTGTAAAGTGTTTTTGAGATTTTTCAATCTTTAAGGCAGTTTAAAAATGCAAGCTGTCTTACATATGGGCAGACTGATTTTATTTTAATATTCCTTGCCTTTCCCCTCGTTTCTATCCCATAATTGAAATCCTTTGATGTTTTGCTATTCCTGTTTTATACTGTGACAGAATGGTCAATGTAACCTTACCTGCCTCTACGCTGTATTAAAAATGACACAGAGGTTTTCTGACTAAGGCAGGGTTGCTATATAATATTAATGCATTTGTAACGATCATGCCCCTGACTGCCAATGTGATTTTGTCACTGGGGCCCGGGTAGTTATGCGATTCATGACCGCTAAACTTCAATATTGTAGATTAGCCCAGGCATCTGGACACATTGCCTGTTCACCTTTTAAAATGTGGGTAGGAAAATGTCATCTTTCAAATTAGTTTGCCCTATTGAACGGATTTGCATTTGTTAAACATCTGCGATAAACAACTTGTTGGCGTTGCTTGGCTCTTCTGTCTCTGTTTAAGTGATAAGAAGGAATCTGTGTGTATAAATCAAAGCAATGTGTGTGTATGTAGGGGTGGGGGGAGGGGAAGGGAATTAATATCATTCATTAATTAAGGAATTCTTTATTGACTAGATATAATGGAGTTAAAAAGTATCCTTAAACTTGTCCTTAATGGCATATAATTGGGAATGAACACCCTCCCCCCCCAATGTTTGGAATGGGCAGTATCCCGGTTGTTAGTCGATTGGTGGATCACTTTTCCTGGGATAATAATCCCTTTTTTAAAAAAAATTGGTCACTCAATGTACGACTGTTTGTGGGACACTGTTGTGCACAATTAGCTGACGCATTTCGCCCACAAAACACAGAGTCAATTCCCTTTAAAGTATATTCTGTGGAGTGCTTTGAGGCATTTCGAAGGCGTGATAAAGTGCTATATCGAAGGATTATTATTATTAATCCCACCAGTCCCGTTTTACCCATTGGCTCTTATTGTCAATTGGTGACGTCTTTTATATAGCAAGTGAGGAACCCTGAGGTCTTTATCTCCAGTTTCATCGCTGTTCACTAGATATTAAGGGGAACCATCCTCCTGAAGTGTGGGCGAGAAATCAGTCACAAACCTATCATGAAAGACTGGTTTTAAGTATACCTTTTGACTCAATTTTCTGTCAAATAAATAACACTTTAATTAAAGAGTGGTATTACTTAAGAGACAAACTACAATTCGGAATGCTGAAGTTCCTCCTCTTATTTGACGATTAACAAGCCGCGCTGAAATTAGATTTTTTTCCCTCCATAACCACTCTGCTCTAACGTCACACCCAATTTCCTTGTAGCTTCACTGAGAATTTTCAAACGGCAGTGTCTTGTCATTTATTTATTTACACTGACAATTTTAGATCTAAAGAGCCTCCCCTCTGAGAATGGATCCACACATTCTGCTATCAGATCTTGTCTGAAAAGACTCCAATCTCCAAAGGTGCAGGGCTTGTATATTTGTGGCTCTGACCTCCAGTTATTTTGGCTGCAATTTCTGGCTTTGAGCGGCTGAAAAAGCCAAAGAGATCTGTACTGTAAGGATACGCTAGTCTTTGATCTGAACTCCCAATATCTCTTTGAAAAGATCTCTTGTTTTCCACCGCTCCTCAAAATAGGCACAGTTCTTTAGAGCTAAGACAATCTCAACGGGCCTCAATATCAATTGTTTTACATTTAAAAGTGTAGTTTGTTGTACATGTTCACATGAAGCAATGAAATTAATTCATTTAAAATGATTCCTTACCTGGTTATAATTAATTTTACAGCCAGATTCATTTTTACTTTGTGTGGAAGACTTTGTGCAAAAAAATGAGACCGAAAAAAGTTATTGGCAGCGTTACACAAGAAAAATGTTTCTACACGATCTTGATCTTCACCAGACAGCACAAAATGCCTTGAAGTGTGCATGAAGTAGCTTCATTCTTATGTGCATCGGCAGTAATGCTGCTAGCATCAAATAAAAATTAGTCGTCACTGTGCATTGCATAAATACAACCGTGCCTCTGAGCATAATTTCTGTTCTGTTAGACTGGATCAATGCACAAGAAAGTGTAAGATTACATTTTACAATATGTTTTGAACTATTGTACATTATCCCCCAGTGTACTATGAAATAGCCTTTAATCGTTTGGAGGTAGCCTCCTGACGTGAAAGGCACTATGTAAAATTTATTGTATCGTAATTGTATTTTCACTCGTGGGATAAAGCGTGACTATTGTGCTGGTGAATCAGTCCCACTCTGGTCAGTGGAATTTGACAGGTATTGGAGTTTTGTCCTTTGCTAGTCAAGCTTTAGTGGCTGCCCCTGTGCACTCATCGTATTTACAGTATTGGTTGCAATTAGGTCACTAATGCTGCCAGTGAGTGCTTTGCAACTCAGCTGAGCCAAGCAAAGATTCCTGAATGTGAGCAAATAATAATAATCCTTGCATTTGATATGGCGCCTTATATCATCTCAATGTCTCAACTCGCCTCATAGGATTTTTTTAGTAGAGAGTAGTGACTTTTGTATTTCATAGGTGAACACAGCAGCTAATTTGTGCACAGCAATGTCCCTCAAACAGCAACGAAGTGATTAATTTTATCTGGGGGATTGTTTACCACAACACTGGGAGAAACTTTTCAAATAGTGCCATGGGAACTTTAATATCCACCTGCAAAGGCAGATATTAAAGTCCATTTAACATAAAATGAACTTTAAAGGCTATTTTCCAGCCACTGTTTTGCTTTGTGGCATAGAAAAGGTCCAGAAGCCCCAATCAGATCAAAAATCATGTTGAAGGCTGCAAAGCGATCTAATTTAAAACCGTGATTCTTTGTGGAATGAACTTAGTGAATCCAGCAATTTCCAAATGGATTATTTTCACATGCCATAAGTTACTGCTCTAATAGTAAATTCCAGTTCATGAATGACTCATTTTGGTCCCCAATGATTAAGTGATGCAGAATGCACTTTTAACCAGCCACGATACTACTTAATCATGCTGGAATTAAAACATCACTCACACAATTTTGTATTTTATTCATTTTAATTTGCTTTGGTTAAGTTTGTACTCTCGAACAGTAATGAGGAGTTATAATATTAAGTAATGGCAAGAATTTCCAGAATTTTTCTAATAAAATTCCCTGAAAGACATTTCTTGTTCGAGCGTTTCCCCCAGTACCTGCAGCTTCTGTCAGTCTGGCCTCATCCACTACTTGGTTTAATTCAAATCCCATCTGGAATACCACTTGAAAGCCTTCTCCACACAGTCTTCCTTTCCAGAGAAAAGAAGCTTTAGACGTTGTTTTGTCTGTGGCCGGTGCTTACAGTTCGTGCCAAGTGACGCATTCTCCACTGTCAACAGTCATCTGCTGCAAGTACCTGTCACTCACGAGCCGAGGTCAAGGTCAGACAAATGCATCCGCTTGACAAATGTTCTGTGGTTAAACAATTGGAGCCTGTATTTTTAATATATTTTTAAAAGCCCTTTCCACAGTGAAGGGTTCTGCTTTGGAACCAGAATGGCAAGTTGTCTCCACATTAACACATCTTACCTCACTTATTTTGCCATTGGAACAAAGACATTGCATTCAAACAGTGCCTGGTCAAGTTTCCCCAAAGATTCTAGACACTTGTATAGGTGTAAAGCTGAGGTGTAAAGTGGATGGAGCGAGTGGGTTTAGCTAAACTAGATTGAGTGATGAGAATGTCACTGCACGATCTTTAATCACAAATATACCTTTACTGATCTTTGATTTTCCTTCTTCCATCAGTGGTGCTTCCCCCAGAGAAGGCCGAAGGATGTGAAGGATTTCCACTGACATTTAGTCAAGATGAAGGGGAAAAATATTTGAATAAAGAAGCCAACAGAAAAAAGCGATTGAATTTTGATGTGAGTACCTGAATTTTGAACCGATTTCCAAATCGTTTTTTTTTAAAAAAAACGGCAGCAAACCTACATTTATGCTCCACATTAGGAAAACGTCTCTGAGCGCTTTAGAAACATGTTTTCTCATTCGTCATTCTCATGTCTGTTGTTTGGGCTTCTAAAGAGGAGCTAGAACTTTAAGAAACTTTTAATGACTAAAATAAATTCCTTTTTAAAATAAATATTCTGTTACCAATGGTAGCATAGAGTATATATAAATAATGACCCTTAATGTGCTTTTAATTTGGCCTTGGATCTATAAAATGTTTTCCTTATTACATCCAACTGTGAGCTCTTAACACTGGGCATCATTTGTGACCTTCAGGTGTCCTCTCAGTAAAAATATTGTAATGCAACCTCAGGGTTCAGGTCACATCCATAAATTACTCGAGCCTCATGCCTGTGGCTTATGATGAAACCTGAAACTCTCCATTAAATTGCAGCATTGTTACTCACCACCAAATATTTATTATTGTGTGCATGTAATCTGGAGTTATTTAATGAGAGAGCGAAATGTATGCTTAGCAAAATATTGCAGCTTTTCTAAATGGTTCAGTAAGCAAACATCTCCTGGTGTGGAACTGAGCCACTCGGGTCCAGAATGTCACTGGTTCAATCCCAGTCTATGCTGGGTTAGCTGATCTCTGCAATTGTGGTGCCTCTGTTGGCCTCGCTAACTCAGGGCTTGGCAGGGAGAAAATCAACCAGAGTTCCTATTTTGGCTCAGTGAGTCCTGCTAGAAAACATGCACGTTTGGATAGCATAATGGCTTGGCTCTATTGGGTGGGGATAGGATAGGAGCTTGGTTATAATATACCTTTCTCCCCCCCCTCCTTCTTTTCTCCCACCCCCTCCTTCCTTTCTCCCCTACTCCTTCCTTTCTCTCCCCCATCCCCCTCCTCCCTTTCTCCCCTCCCTTTCTCCCCCCTCCCTTTCTCCCCTTCTCCTTTCCTCCCACCCCTTCTCCCTCCCCCCCCCACACATATGCCAGAGGGTCACATACCAGTTCTCAGTAATGAGTGCATATGAAGATTGGTCTCTTGTGTATACTTGAGGATATGTATACATCCAACATTTTCACAAGGCTCATGAGCCGGGGGATGGGGAAAATTAGGGTAATAGCAATATTCAGCTCTGAACATTTGGGTTTTCAGCCCCAGAGAGAATTTGTTCAATTAATTTTCGTTAATGTGTAATGGGAATAAATATGAGGATGCAAGGGTGAAAAACGTAATAATAATTCTTGTGTTTGATGTAGGAGGGGACTTCACAGGATTTACTGTAAAATGTACTGACCCGTATTTTATAGATAAATGCAGAAGCCAGTTTGTACACAGCAATATCACATAAACTATTGTGAAATGAGTGACCAATTTTTGGCTAGGAAATCAGGCAAAAGTCCCTTCTCTTTTCAAATAGTACCATGGGATCCTTAATGTTTATCTGAACATGCAGATGGGAGCTCGGTTTACAACAACAACAAAATTGCATTTATAGAGCGCCTTTCACGTCGGGAGGATGTCCCAAAGCGCTGAACAGTCAGGTGTCGGGGCCTGAGCATGGGGGAGGGGGGGTGGTGTAGGGGTGAGGGAAGGCAGAGAGGTGGGAGGGAGACCAAAGGCACGGTCGAAGAGAAGGGTCTTGAGACCGGCCTTGAAGGAGGCAAGGGAGGAAGCGAGGTGAAGGGACCATGGGATGGAGTTCCAGAATGTGGGGGCAGAGAGGCTGAAAGCCCGGCCACCGATGGTATGGCGGGTCGGGCGGGAGTCATAGAGCAGACCGGAGCCCGATGAATGAAGGAAGCGGGCAGGTTGGTAGGGAGTCAGCAGGTCAGAGAGGTAGGAGGGGGCAAGGCCATGGATAGCCTTGAAAGTGAGGACGAGGATCTTGCACTCGATCCTCTGGGGGATGAGGAGCCAGTGGAGTCGGGTGAGAGTGGGAGTGATGGGCTCACAGAGCCTGGTACAGAGTTTGGGATGATCTGCAGCTTGTGAAGGGAAGGGAAGAGTTGGGAAGGCTAATGAGGAGGGAGTTTCCATAATCAAGCCTTGCTGTGATGAATGCGTGAGTGAGGGGTGAGGCAGTGGCGGAGTCCGGCGATGTTGCGGAGGTGGTGGTAGGCAGTGCCGGTCATGGCGCGGATGTGGGGGAGAAAGGACAGTTCAGGGTCGAACAAGTCACCCAGGTTCCTGACTGGCTTAGTGAGGTTCAATGTGCAGCCGTAGAGACTGATGCTGCCAGCGCCTGAGGTGCGGAGGCGTCGGCGCGAGCCAATCAGGAGGGCTCAGTCTTGCTGACATTGAGTTGGAGAAAGTTGTCCCTCGTCCAGGACTTGATGTCGGACAGGCAGTCAGTCAGGACGCCAGTAGTCCTGGGGTTGAGGGTGGAGGCAGAGAGATAGAGTTGGGTATCATCCGCATACATGGGGAATTTTACCCCATGTCTGCGGATGATGTCACCAAGAGGGAGCATGTAGAGAGTGAAGGGACCGAGGAAAGAGTCCTGAAGAACACTGCACGAGACGGTGCGGGGGCTGGAGGAGAAGCCATTACCTACAATGAAGTGGAGGCAGTGTGAAAGGTAGGACCTGAACCAGGTTGAGGTGGGAGGAGAGGCGGTGGAGGAGAATTGAGTGTCCACGGTGTCAAAGGTGGCGGAGAGGTCGAGGAGGACAAGGAGGCAGAGGGAGCTCTGGTCACACATGGTCAGGATGTCATTTGTGACCTTCACCAGAGCAGTTTCCATGCTGTGTGCAGCACACAAACCCGATTGGAGAGGTTCATGGAGGGAGTGATAGAAGAGGAAAGAGCGAAGCTGGGAGGCAACGGCTCTCTCAAGGACCTTGGATAGGAAGGGAAGATTTAAGATGGGCCGGTAGCTGGATAGCTGTGATGGGTCGAGGGAAGGTTTCTTCAAGGTGAGGGTGATGATGCCTATTTTGAGGGGGGAAGGAACCATGCCAGATGACTGGGAGAGGTTAATGATATCAGCGAGAAGTGGGGCAAAGAAGTGGAGCTGGGATTTAAGGAGAGGGGTAGGGATGTGGTCCAGGGAGCAGGTGGTGGGCCGCATGGAGGATATGGTGGTGATGACAGAGGAGGGAGTAACGGGTTCGAAGGTGTGGAAGGAAGGACGGGTAATTGTCGGAATGTGGGGTGTGGGAAGGGAGGGGGTGGAATTTGGAGGGCAGTGGCAGCTGAGCGGACTCCCTCGATTATGGACTCGAGGAAGATCAGCATTTTCTCGCAGTGAGTCAGAGGAAAGAATCTGGAGTTGTGGCCGGGATGGCGGAGGAGCTTAGTTGGTGGTGGAGAACAGGAGCCTGGGGTTGCCCTTCGCCTCCAGGATTAACCTGGAGTAGAAGGACGATTTGGCCAAGATGAGAGCAGAGCGGTAGGTCTTGATGAGGTCCAGCCAGATGTGGCGGTGGACCGTTGGGCCGGATTTGAGTCAAGTGCGTTTGGCAGCCCGCACCTGGCCCTTGAGCGAGCGGAGGTGGCTGGTGAACCAGGGTGAGGATCGGGAATAGAAGGCAGTTCGGGAGGTGAGGGGGCAAGGATGTCGAGTGCGGTGGAGAGGGTGCTGTGGAGAAGAGTGAGTGAGCGAGTGGGTTGGTGCGAGAGGTGGGCCAGAGGGGGAGGAGTTCAGAGGACTCCAGTGCAGCGGAGAGGTATTGCGGGGAGATTTTCTTCCACGAGCGGTAGAAGATGGTGGTAGGTTTGGAGGCAGTGGGGAGAGGGATATGGGAGTTGAGGGAAATGAAATGGTGGTCAGAGGTGACCTTGTCAGTGATGGTGACATCCGAGACGCTGAGGTCCCAAGTGATCACCAGGTTGAGCGGGTGACCATGGGTGTCGGTAGCAGAGTGGATGTGGAGGGAGAGAGAAGATGGAGCAGAAGGGGGTGAAGTCGCCTAGGATGATAAGGCGGTCGGAGCAGAAGTAGAGGGAGGCTAGGAGGGTAGAGATGTCAAAGCTGGAGGTGGGTGAGGATTTGGGGGTTTATCGTCTCATCTGAAGGGCAGAACCTTCCACAATGCAGCACACCCCCCAGCACTGTATTGGAGTGTCAGATGTATGAATCTCAATGTTGAGCTTGAGCCAACAACCTTCTGACTCAGAGGCAAGAGTACTACCTACTGAACCAGGCTGACTCCGTTATTCACCGTTGACACCATTACTAATTATGGACTGGTTTCTGACTGCTGGAGTCTTCTCTTCCTCCTCCCTCCGACACAATCAATGGTTGTCCCCACAAATCTCTGATATTGCTGAGTTGAGTTAATGAACCTCCAATCTACGGATCAATCCGCTGAAGTGTGAGTTGCAAGTCAAATCTGCAGCCAATTTGGGATTAACAGTGGTTAATCAAATTTTACATTTTTAGTCCCTCTACGTATCACTTAGCAGGTCACAGACTGCAATTTTCACTCTGTAATTTGAGTATTGAATTTATGACTGTTCACATGCAGTGTCAGCTCAGGTTACAATAGGTGACATGGAGCTTTTGTAAATTTTGAGTTCATTTTTGACAAGGATCTGAGTTCTTGGGCGTGACAAGCAAGTTCCTCAGTGGTCGCTGAACGTGAGCAGTGATGGGGATGGTGTGGGATAGATAGTTGCAGGGGTTTGTGTTGGAGGATAGAAGCCATGGCCTTTCCAGTGTTCCTCTGGCCCAACGACAACAACAAATAACATTTGTATAGCGCCTTTCACGTCAGGAGGAAGTAGCTGGGGTAGGATCTGGACTCTACTGTTTGGAATCACACCACTAGTTGATGGCAGCAACGTCACGATCTGGACTTGAAACTTGTTTCTTAATTCTTTGAAATGCATGTGCCATTTTTTTTCAATCTTAAAAAAACGCAATAAATTAACCCCTGAAAATACCAGGAACAAGATCAGGAATGCGGGCCAGGGATTGGGATTAAAGTGCATCCTCTGTTGTCAAGGTCTCCTGCTGCTTGTCTAGTTAGGACCAACCCTACCTGTTAGGGTTTTGGCTTCCAGGGTTAAAAACAACATCTTGGATTTATATAGCACACTTCACACGAGGCAGCGTCTCTGAGCACTTAAAACAGCTCCTTAACAGGAGATCAGTGGGATGATTTCTTGCACCCAGTGACTGTTCTGCCTTTCCAAGCCCTGCCGATGAGACAGGAATGGCTGTGCTGTCATCGGCGTTTGACCAAGTTGTGTTTGAGGAGAGTGTTAGCAGGAGAGAGGTCTGTGACTCAGAGTGTGCTCTCTTTTCAGGAGCTTGAGTGCAACGTGTCGGTAGAAGAGGACAATCGGCAGGAATGGACCTTCACCCTTTATGATTTTGATAACAGTGGCAAAGTTACCAAAGAGGTACATTTAAACTGTTGCTTTTTTTTAAAAAAAAGGCAGAATAATGTGCTTGTAAACTATGCGGGGTGGGGGTGGGGTGGAGGTGGGGCAGAGTTGTTCGGTTAGTTTCAAGCTGCCACTTGAAAGTAATGTGGGGGTAGAGGGGAATGAGAGTGCAATAGCCAAACGGAATGCATGCCGGCAGCTTTGGCCTGACAATTCACTCTGGAAATACAGAACTTTTCTGTCACCATCAGTTTGGAGAGCTGGCAGAGGATATATGGCTAGCGTCTATAGTAAACCATCTTCATGTTGTAGGCAACCCGTTAAACAACCTCCAGAATCGTGTTGGATAAGGGTTAGGGTTAGGCAAGTTTTAGGCAAGGGTTTTACGCAAGTTTTTTAATGTTTTTTTTTAAACCGTGTTGCGTTTCTGCTGCAGTTTGCCCCGTGTTCTGTACGAATGGACATTTTGGGGGATTAGTGGGTGGTAGAATGGTACCCATTGACTTCTTGTGTTGCTAGCACTTTAAAGCCCCCTCAGTCCAGTGTTAGGGTAAGTTTAGCCAGAAATGCTGTGCAGCAGATAGCTAAAGCAGAGTTCTAGCTATAAGATGGTGGTGATGGGGAGGATTAAGTTTTCTGTCCGGTTGGTAGGACCGGAGTCGTGGAAACAATTGGCCCAATATTTCTCATAGTTTTAGTCTGCAAGATAGTTTTGTCTTAAGTTTCAAAATCACTAAGAATTGTAGAAAATTCTTAAATTCTGTAGTGATTGCGAAAAGCCTTTTTTTAAAAACAAATCTCAAACTGATTAAGACGAAGTGGTGTTACAGGCCAAGATCCTGGGAATTTTTGAGTCTATTGGGATGAAATTTTAGGGTGCAGTTTGCAGCTTTAAAATGCCAGTTTTACCCCAATATTCCTACTTTCTTGTTCCGTCCACCGCCCTCACAATTGTAGTGTTGAATCTGTTGCGCAATGCTGCGGATTTCATCCCTGATTAACACTGTACACATTTAGTGTATGTTGTGTTTTTAAAAGGGCAAGTTTGTCTGCTTTCTCTGTTGATGCTGCTCTATTGCAGTGCCTGGCGGGTTTCTCCTCTGGCAGTGTCTGACAGAACTGCCATTATGTTGTTCAAATTAAACCTTAAAAGTAGGAAATGAAGCTCCCTTGCAGAGAAGCTAAGAGTCGAATGGGTGTATTATAACTAAGCAGTTCCAGCAAGTTTTAACCCTTCAGTAATAGGTATTCTTGGACTATTCCTCCATCTTCATAATAGTTCTTTAAACTGTCATGTTGTGTGCTTGCTGGCTAATCTCTTTACTCTGGTTTTCCGCTGTAAGTTTTATGCGATTGTTTAAAGAAAGGCGGCAAATTGTTGGTGCCACTCGTACATTTGGGAAGGCTTTAATATTTTGCAGGGCTGCTGCTGATAGTGAACTGCCCTCTGTACAGTGCATCTCTTTGTTGCTGTCTATTGTGGGCTCAGTATGAAATGGCACCTGAGTGGGCTTGGTGAGTGGTGAGGGCAAGGGAGAACTGAATACGTCCAATTCTGAGAGAGTCTGTACTGAAGATAGGCGGTGGGTCTAACAAGTGACTTCACTGTCACACACTGCAAATGTGGATATTTCCTACAAGGATTGAGAAAGGAGCCAGCAGTTATGGGCATTTGTTGCATCTGTTTCTCTCTTAGCTTCATGGTGGTAAACTTTTGTATACCATTAATAAAGGGAGGCAGAATTGGATTATATAAACTACTCACAGTTAGGCCCCTATGCTGTTATTTCTCCACTACTCTTGTGAAATCGAACTTGATCCTTATACTTGATCCTGTGTGGAGTCCTGTCCTTTTCAATTCTGTTCAAAATGTCATTGGATCAATGCAAGTCCTTAAACCCAGCCATCGGCTGTTTTAATTTCAAGGAAAAATAAATTTAGATTCAACTCAAGCAGGCATTATGTTAGCAACATATGGGACATGTGTGTGTGTGTAAATATATATATATAATATATATATAATATTAAGCAGCTGGTATTGAGTAAGCCTGGTACATGGACTTGGACCTCGAGAATATGAAGGTGGCTGGCATAGCACGTCCTGTGAAGGTCCTCCCACCACACTGAAGTCAGATGCCCACCTGATAGCTGATAAAGAAACTCTTGAGGTTTGGGGCGACAGCTGCTGGAAGGTGTTACCTGTAGTCCAAGTTCGTGAACACACGTTTGTACGTCCAGCTCCTGGAATCCACCTTGAGTGGTCTGCAGAGAAACTTCGCAACTCCAATTGGTGGAACCATCGGTCAATGGGAAGGAACGTGTGCCCGAGCTGCGAACAGGAATTTGGTGGCAATGCTCTCACGCTGAGATGCGTTGCCCAACGGGAAGCTCACATCGAGTTCCTTGTACCTACTGTCCACCTAGTGAAGGTTCAAACCCACGCTTGTCGGGTGTCGGATGACCAACTGGTGACTATCTGGTGATTATCTGGGTTCGAATCCTAGACGGGGCAAAATGTTAGGCAAGTTTCCTTACTCCACACGCCTCTGTTTACCTAGCAGGAAGTAGGACCTCGGTTCTTAGTCGATTGGCAGATCGCTTCCTGGGGATAATATTCCCTTCAAAAAAATAATAATCATTTGGTCACTCAATTCATGACTGTTTTGTGGGATACTGGTTTGTGCAATTGTGCCGCATTTCACTCACAAATATAGAGTCACTCTACAGTGTATTCTGTGAAGCGCTTTGAGATGCTTCAAAGCCATTATATTGCACCATATCAAATGCAAGAATTATTATTACTCAGTGTACAAATGGTGAGCAGCGTGTTTCGAGCAGCTCGGGGCAATGTCGGTTGCTATGAAGGATTTTCATTTGATGGTAACTACTTGTATTTCCGTCACTTTTCGAATGAAAGTGAATGTCTCAAAACACTTAAGTTATCATTGATTAGAAATGTAGTGATTGTTATCTAAGCAAATGCAACAGCTAATCTACGCTAGTGATGTCCCGTAAATGACAAAGATAAATTTAATATAACCCATGTGTTTTTTTGTTTGTACATAGGACATGTCCAGCCTGATGCACACAATCTACGAAGTTGTAGATGCTTCAGTAAACCAGTCCGCTACCAACAGCAAGACCCTGAGAGTGAAGCTAACAGTGTCCCCTGAACCCGCCAACAGGAAGAAGGATGGCTTCTCAGCCAGTCAAGGTAAACCAGCTGAAACTGGGATCTTTCTGAAACATCTTTCTGAAATTCCTTTGCGACTTCCCCACTGGTAGCAATTTTGGTTTGCCTACCCATTGTGGTACACCTGGGGACAGATGGCAGCGTAAATGAGACCTTGCATGAGGGAAAATGTCTTGGGGTGCAAAGTGTGTCTCCTGCAGGCAGCCCTGTGAATTCCAGGCCAACACTGGAGGATCCATTCCGTAGTGAGAACTCAGCAGTCAAATTATTGCTCCTCGTCAGGATGCATGTTTTCTCACGGTGCCTTTTTGAACTCCATCCTCTTCAAATGTGATAATAATAATAATCCTTGCATTTAATATAGTGCGTTATCACGTCTTCGAGATCAACTACTATCGCGGTGCATTCGTCCTTCATCTTGGCTAAAGTCACAAGTCCGAGCCAAGTGTCCCTCTGATACATTCTTACAATTTTCCCACGTTGCGCTTCTGGTTTAGCATTTTGCAACATTTCCGATGACGTTATTGAAAAAGAGAAGGTATATTTCCCAGTGTTCTGGCCAGCAATCGTCTGGATAAATTGGTCATTCACTTCATTGCCATTTGTAGGGCCTTGCTGCGTGCAAATTAGCTGCCCACAAATATAGTCACTACACTGGAAAGCTATTCCCTCAGGATATTTGACATGAATCACACAATCTGTATTGCAAGAATCATTGTTAAATGTTTTACACAGTCTGCCGTATAATAACAGAAATCAGCCTCCCACATCAGGTACAGCAACTGCAGGATGAAATGTAAAACTCCCTCGACTTATTTGCAGTGTGCAAACATAGCTGTATAGAGGGCATTACAGGTCCCATTAAAAGTTGACAACAAATAAAGGGTTGTCCACGAATTACTAAATTAATAAATCCTTCTCATTGATAATCGTATAATAAAGGAGTCCTGTAATTCTGTTGTTACACATGGTTTGCACATGGTGCTTAATAGACCCCAATTTGTCCTTACTTTAATCTGAGAAGGGCACCTAATACCTGACTAAAATTCCCTTTATATTTCCCCAGTTACCATTCGTAGAGTCTCTGTAAACAAAACTACAGTTTTGAGCTGTAACATATTACCCACTAGGAACTGAGTTGTGATGTCCCCCAAAACACTTAGGTGTTTAGGTGGGATCCTCAAAAGCAAGGCTTATTATATTATTATGACAGCCAGCTGAGAAGTGACTTTCTTCCCCATCGACCTGGACTGGATTCAATCCTAGAAGAAATGTTGCAACTCAATACACCGCCAGAATGTTTACTTGGAGTTAGAATGTTATAACACAGAAACAGGCCTTTTTTCATATGACCCCATCTAATATAATCCGATTCCAATCTCCTTGCTCCTCATATCCTTTAATGTTCCTCTTTTGCAAATATCTACCTTATTTATTCCCTTTTTAAAATAATTTATGCATTCAGCTTCAACAATGGTTTGTGGCAGAGAATTCCACATTACAATAATTTTCTGTCTGAAGAAATGAAAGTTAACTTCCTTTAATTCCTTTTGAAATTATTTCAAATTTGTGCCCTTTCATTACTGGCTCACTGACCAATGGAAATAATCTATTGCTGTTTGCCCCCATCATAGCCCTCCATAATGCTGAGACCTCTATCAACATCCCCTAACCTTCTGCTTTTTAATGGGGAAAAAAAAGTTTGTTTTTGAGGAATTTCAGGAATACCTTGCCGGAAGAAGGGAAGTCTGGGTCAGATGCAGCTTGTGAATAGATTTCTGCGTTTATCTTTCGCAGATCGAGAAAACAATCGCTGTAAGAGTGAAGCTGAGCACTCAGAGGAGGTGAAGTGTTCGGATAAAAGACTTTCGGCTCAGATGAGGTACTGGAGGCCATTCTGTCTCCTCTTAACACGCTTCTGATCTAATCTCCATGCTCCTGGAATCCAAATTCATTGCCGTACTCACTGAAAAGAGATGCATTGTGAAGACTAATTTAATCCCACAAGTACTCAGGAAAGCAGTTTGCTTCTTCCTTCTCAAGAAGGCACCACAATATTCATGTTTTGTTTTATAATATAGATTTTATATTGCCGTAGCATCCCATTATACCCAAGGTGGAAGTTGGTGTGCGCTGCATTGTTGGAGGTGACATCCTTCAGATGAGAATTAAACTGAAGTCTTGTTTGCTTGTTGAGGTGTATGTTAAAGATCCCAGAGCACTATTCAAAAATAGAAGGGAGTTTCTCCCAGTATCTTGGTCAACAATTCCCTAGGTTAAATTTACTTTGTGGTTGATTGTGGAACATTAGCTGTGCACAAGTTGGTTGCCCCATTTGCCTACGATTATAGTTACAGTCACTGCACTTCACAATAAAATGCTGTGGAGCACTTCGAGATGTATCAAGACGTGATAAAGATCAGTAGCAAATGCAAAGATTATAAGATAATTGTTATTATATGTATTCCTGTAGCCTGTGTTGAAGTAGCAGATGTCTGCCAAGATGTTGGGGTGTTACAATTGGTCTTTGTACTCCTAAAGAGAGGGTGGAGTGAAGATAGGCAGCCAGGGTTACAACTCCTGTTTTCCAGCCAGGGACTCCTACTGGAAAATGTGATATATAGTAAGAACTGATTTAGCTGTGATATCATGGGTAATTGGCCTGCCTACAGCCTCTCATGAAGAATGGCAAGCATAGGACTGATGGTAACAGTGGAACCACGCTAAAATTAGAATTGCATAGTATCTACACATGGATGCAGGGCCATTCAGCTCAAATAATTTGTGCCAGTGTTAACACCGAACATTAATATCTGGCAATCCTAATCTTTCCCACCCTATACTTCCCCCATGTCTCACTATTCCCTTCTCTCTTCTGTAAGACATAGATTGTAGAAGGGAGACATGGAAGAAAAACAAATGATTATAATCCGGAGGTGGGGGGGTGGTGGTGTGGTGTGAAGATGATGAAGAGATCAGAAGCTCCACAGCTTCTCCAAGCTCTCACTGAGTGAGCAGAGTAGTGCTGGCCTGGTATAATATGCTTGGAGTGCAGTAAGATCAGTATTTGTATGTTTTATATTAGTTTGCTCCCCTGTCATATGTTAGAGACTGAATGGAGAGAGTCCCAGATTAACTCCTGTTCCTCATCTTTCAGCAGGCTGTCATAGATCCCCTTCACAAGCTACAAGAGCGGCAATAATCTTATCTTTTGACTGTGATAAAATATACTGTATATAAGAGAGCGATGAGTTGTATACAAGGGTGCTGAAAGCTGACTGTTTGCCAGATGGCTAAATTTCCAGAGCACAGACTGTGCTAAATCTGAAAATGTTTGGAGCTACCAATCAGCCCAGTTTTAATAATTCCTGCTGAAAAGCAAAATTTTGGCCTCAACTCTGCATTCTCTTCTCTCTTCCCCTCCTCCCCGCCCCCCCACCCCAACAACGAAGAGATCTCATGCAGATCGAGGGTAATAATAATAATAATCCTTGCATTTGTTGTAGCGCTTTATCACGTCTTCAACACGTCTCAAAGCGCTTCACAGAATATACTGTAAAGTGAACTAACTGTATATTTTGTGGGCAAAACGCGCACAGCAGTGTCCCACAAACAGTCATGGATTGAGCAACCAATTTTTTTTAAGGAATTATTAGCACTGGAAAAGTGATCCGCCAATCGACTGATGACTGGGTTCCTACTTCTGCTAGGTAAAGAAAGGTGTGTGGAGTAAGGAAACTTGCCCAACGTTTTGCCCTGCCTGGAATTGAACCCAGGTCACTTGCTTGTGAGGCAAGAGGGTACCTACATCATGTTAAATTAAAGTTGCATGTTTGCAGGGAATCTGATCAGTCATGGTTCGATTAAAGATAGGGAAAAGCTAGGGTGCTTGTGGTGTTTTGAAGTGAGACAGATCCAGGTTTTATGTTTATTTTTGACAATATAAGGTGACTGGCAAACCAGGTTTGACCACAGTGAGTGTGTGGAGTGATTTTTTTTCAGTACGGGTGTATGATCGGTCTCTTGTTTTCTCACAGAAGATATAACAGCGACCAGCACAATTCTAACATGCGTGAACATTACTGTGTGGACGAGAACACCGAACGAAGAAACCATTACTTAGACTTGGCTGGGATCGAGAACTACACGTCTAAATTTGGACCAGGTAAAGAGAAATAGTGATTGCCCACAATGGAGGAGGAACATTTTGGCTTTTCTGGCTGAAGCTTGGAATAAGGTCAATGTGATGTGGGGGGGTGATGTGGGGGAGAGAGAATTGACCATGTGAGAGCCACTAATTGATTTACGAATTGATGCATGGAGAGGCAATTTGACTGGACCATATGCCTTAGTGGACACACCTATAAAACGACTGCAGTGAGTGATCGCTATGGTCAATTAGGCAGCACATCCACACCTCACATCAGTGTCATCACAATCTCTGCTTTGGATCTGATTGAGAAATGTCCTGTGTACTCCATCGCATTACTTGGGCTGGCAAGAGAGAGGGTAGGCATTCGCATCGAAGGAGGTGCTGTGCTTTAGAAGAGACATTAAGCCAAGATCCCATCTGCTTGTTCAGTTGGACATTTAAGATACTCATACATTTAAGCGAAAAGAAAAGGGAGTTTATCCTGATCCTCCAGATAAATTGGTTATTCACACAGCTATTTGTGAAACATTGCACAAGTTGTCTGCTGTGTTTGCCTACATGTACAGTCACACATTTGACAAGAATTACCTCTGAAGCTCTATGAGACATTAAAATTATAGTGCAAAGATTGCTAGTATCCCATATCTTTCCCTGACCAGCAATGTGAATTTCTTCCCTCTGTGGCTTTTCAGTACGATTGCTAACAATTCCTTAATTCTGAGAAGTTTCATGTTGCTATTTCATTCCCGGGGTAGAGAGAGAACCTAAGCTCATTTCACTTGGAATTTTTAGAGCTGTTGAAGAGATAAGAGTTTTGTTCCAATAGTCTGAGTTAAATGTCCCAATCACAGAGGGTTAAACAGTGACTAAAAGAGGTAGGGAAGATGCATGTAAGAGGAAACCAGACCTTCATATGAAGGAGAAGGGAATAGAAAGGTATGGGAGTAAGGAGTGGATGGAGACTCGTGGAGTGTAAACACTAGTACGGACTAGTTGGGCCAAGTGATCTGTTCGTGTTGTACATTCTCTGTAATTTTTGTAAATGGACCATTTTGTGAACTGCACCACCCGAGTGTTGCCTGATCACTTGCAGCCTTTCATGTTATTAAAGTTGCCAGTTGCTGTTAGTTAATTGGTAAGCTACTTTCCACTCAGCGAGACACCCATGCCACTTTGAAAGGTGATGGTTTCACGTAAGGGACCCGACAGGACAGGATAGGACTGACGGCAAATTGGCTTCTCATAATTATAACCGATTTTTGACTCTTGAATTGAGAAAGTCTTCTAGACAAGGAGGTGGTTTGAAGCGAATCCAGTTTGGTTCATGAGCAGCCAATCCATCTTGTAGTATCTTGTGGACCACATTTGTAGACTCTGTACGTGGGGGGTTAAAAACTAGTTTCCTTTTCAGATCAAAGCAGGGTAACAACAATGCTAAGTTGGACTTGTGCCTCTGCCTAGTGCTACATGATCCACATAAGCAGAGGATCGTATCTGCTGTACAAACACACAGGCTGCTGGAATGTGGCCAAGCCCCATTCACACTATAAATTAACCACCCCAGGACAGAACATAACAGCAGACCTCAAGGGCGCTGTTAAGAGCTTGACCTTGAGTCCTGGAAAAATGGGCAGAGAGGTTCAGAACTATTAGATCAAGGGCTGAATTGTAAAAGTACCAGCTTCTCTTTAAATTCTGATTGAAATCAAAGGGTTCTCTGGAGGGCAATGGTCGTAGATTTTACCCATTTGTATTGCAAATATCATCTGGTCTGAGAAACTTTTTCTTTTTCAAACAAATAAAATTGAGGGTTTTTAGTGTTCCTGAGACCGTGCTTCTTTCTCAGTGAAATTTTAAACCCAAGTAGATTATCCATTATTGGGAACATTTTGGAAACTTAGCAGTTCCATCACCGAGCTTCACCTTGTGGCCTCTGGGTTGATGTTCCAGACTGCCTGTAGCTTGGATTCCGCCATCAATCTTTGCAATGAAGTGCTCCTGTTCCGACCTAGACTTCCGTGTGCGTGAATCCCACCTTGGGAAAACGCAAACAGCATTGTCGGCATAAACATAATCACCCTCAAAATACACAGTCATTTCACTTTACGATATATTCTGTGAAGCGCTGTGAGATGTCTCGAAGACGTGATAAGGCGTTATTTCAAATGCAAGGCTTATTAGTATTATTATTATAAACATAAGGAAATAAATTTCCTGTGTTGGCTAAAGTATTCCTAGTGTTAATTATGAAACTGTAAATTTTACCCCAATATTTCTTACTCAAGTTGTGTAAATTTTCCTGCAGGAAAAATCAACAAATTTTGGCAAAATCAGCAAAATAATGCTCTGCTGATAGGACAACAACAAAATCAACAAGCTTACATTTTCATAGCACCTTTCACGTCAGATGTCCCAAAGCACTAACCATTATCCTTCACAGATGCGTAACCCGCCAATGTTCCAAAATCTTGCGTCAGTGCCCACTTCCAGACCTCTGACAGTACCCTCTGTAGCTGCTTCCAGGAAACATATAATCCAACAGCACTGCTATCGACTACTCCTCCCTCACACTCCCTGCCTCTGCCCCCACCCTACAATCATTGAAATTTATAGCACAAAAGGCCATTAGGCCCATCTTGTTTGTACTGGCTCATTTAAGAGCCATACTTTTAGTCTCATTTTCCTGCCATTTTCCCAGAGCCTTGTAGTTTACTCTGAGGTTCCAAAATGTTGTGCCTCTATCAACTTCCAGATATTTTTAGTTGTTTATCTACCACTGCTCCCAACCGGGCATTCCGTATCCTAATTACTCTTTTGTATGAAAACAATTCTCCTAAGCTCCGATTTGTTTGTTTGCTAGTTATTGTGAATTAATGTCCTGTAACCTCCACAAGTGCACCTGAAATTAGGTCAGCATATTGTGGAGCAATAAACTGACCTGAGGTACCGAAACCTCTTCTGTGGTACTTCATTACTTCATTCTCTCCACTCTTGTAATGTTTCACCCTCCAGGAATTGCTCAGCGTAAATAAACCGCAATAATCCAAGCCAGGCACTTTTAGCTCTTCTGTTTCTAAATAAAAATTTCCAAAGTCTCCATAGAGTGATTCACTGCAGATCAATGGTCTTTGGTGACTGGTTCTCAAACACAGTTTGGTTTCTTTGATTTTATTTCTAAGAAGAAGCCCAGAGCTAAGCAGTAACTGGTATTAATAAATAAGAACAGGCTTCATTTAAAAGGTGTTTTGTTTAAACAAAAAGCAAGGAACTCCGGCAGTCGCCATGTCATGGATTGACCTGCAGTTTATGGACTGGGAGTTCCCCAGTTCAAATCCCAGTCCTTGATCTCAGCCAGGGCTGCAATGAGAAGGAACATAGTTTCTGGCTCTGTGAAGGCTCAGGTTACAATCAGCAAGGGCCTGCCTTTTGTCAATAAGCTCTACTGTTAGGACAAGCATGTGGCAACTGAGTGAGAAGTAGTCTGGCTTGGCTGTCACTTCTTCTACAGTTGAATGGCCTACCGACACTCACTGCCGAGGCTCATACATCAACGATGGCCACTTGAGGGCAACCAGCACCTGTGGAACTGCTCCCAGTGTGAGGAGCCGAGGAATCAAGAGCAGGTTTAAACCCCATATTTGATCTAGTGCAGGGGGAAATGCCTAGCAAAGGGAATCCACAGTAACCTAAAGCATTGTTGATGGTCAGCCTGTCTGATTTATCAAGAAGATTTGGAGATGTAGACATGTCTTGAATCCAGCAAACAAATGTCCTAAAGCTGGATAAGGATCATAGAACTTACCAGTGCCTCATAAGCTCTGTTGTCAAAGCTATATTTTTTTAACCCCACCGTAAATGGATTCTTTCTCATCTCTCTCTCCCTCTCCCCCCTTTGGCTCTCAGGTTCTCCGCCACTGCAGACTAGACAAGAACATCATGGGAAAAGCTCTCATTCTCAGAATAGGTCGCGATCCCAGGAATCTGAGACCCACAACGGGCATCAACGTAGATCCCAGGTCCTCACGGATTATCCCGCTCCATTTGCCATTGGGGATCAGAACGGGACGAGGCTAGTGGAAGCGCAGCCCAGGCTGAAATGTCAGGAGAAACAGTTTGTGAAGTCTCCCAAAGGAGCGGGGAAAGCTCCGGTCATCCCAGGCAGTGGAAATAAGGCAGGGAAAGGTCATTACATGCCCGCCCCGACATCACAGCCCAACCATGTGGGACACGACCTCTACCACTTCCAACAGCAGCAGCAGCAGCAGCACGGCCATAAAAAGTACAGGCAACGAACAAAGGATAACCACTCCCCGCTGAAGGCAACTCACACACAGCCCACCGCACTGGAGCACGAGTACCTGCGGGACCTGCCCCCGGTGATGTCTGGCGATGGCTACGTCATTCCTGTCATTCAGAGACACGAACATCACCACCATCACGAGCACCATCACCACCACCACTACCACCACTATCACCAGTCGTGAGGAGCCACAGTCGGTGGCAGTAAGCCACGCGCTCATCAGAATGCCTGTACTTTGTTCCGCACTATCGTGGCCACCATCACTTCTGAGCTAGCACTCGGAAGGAGCCACCCATACACACACATGCGTAAGCACCACACGCACATATGCCCACATAACATGCGTACACTCCCTGTACACGTACATTTACACACCACGCACATGTACCTTTACACACCATGCGCACAGATATTTACACACAAAACTTTGCGCACACATACATACGACGTATATATACACCCACACGCCAAGCTTACACGAAACCGGACGGGAACAAACTGGCTCAATTTTACTCAGCTGAGAAATGGTTCCATCATGTTGCAATTTTTCTCCCAAAAGAAATAATTCAGTATAAACTGATAATGTGTGTGGATAGATTTGAATGTGGATATTAATCACTTTTCTTCTCCCCAATGTCTGCACGACTTTGGAACTCAGGTGAGATGTGCAGCTCCTCAGCTGCACATATGAACTGTCCTCCACAAAGCACAGGCCAACTTTATATTGTTTTTTTATATTATTATTATTAATAAAATACCCAAGAAAGTTTGAAACACCACTGCCATTACTCTGCTGCATAAGAAATGTACTGTTATGTAAACATCAAACTTTATTACATGTATTAGTAACTGAAAGAATTTTTTATATTGGACTGAGTACCTTTCGCTCACGACTTTGTGGTAATGTGGGTCTAAGCTACAAAATGAAGCTTTCTTACTGTAAGTCCTCTGCTCGATCCACAAGCTATTGGGCAGTTGGCTTCACTTGCTGAAGCAGATGGCCTGTACAGGGGGCACCTTTATTGAAGTGTATTATGTTATGAATTGACGCATAGAATAGCCTAAAGCCTGTGAGTATGTATTACGCCATAAGACTGAATGTAACACTTTGTAACCAATTTTTATAATTTATTCCTATATATTGAGCAATTTTTTTAATTATATCCTCTTCTTCAAATTCTTTCATTGACACCAACAACAATAAAGGCACGCTGTCTTCATGGAAAGTCGCCAAAAATGTCTGTGGGGAGTGGTGGGGTGGGGAGGAGAGACGGAGAAAGAGAGAGATGGTAGGAGAATGTGACAAACTATTTAATCAGTGCATTTCCAAATAAACTTTGCTGATGTTTCATGAAGCCGGTGTCCCTTTAAGAAGCCAGGGTCATTTTATTTAGTGAATACTTGCTGATATAGCAGTAGGAACTGGGTCCAACACTCCCTGTTTACTGCTCCACTGTTAAAGGGGTGGCATTTTCAGCATGAAGTATCTTTAAACCACCTCACCTGGTTGCTAAACAGCATGAGGTGGGGATGAGTAGACGGGCAATGAAATGATGCCATTTCCTCTGTCGCTACTAATTTATTTGTTTCCTGGTTTTAATTTTTTCAAAAACGACTAAAATATTGGGGAGGGGGAGGGGGGCGCGGGGAAGAGGTGTTGTAAAGTTCACATTGCAACGGAGTGCGCTTATGCTTGTACAGCTTAAACCTGCAGAAACAGCAGTTTCCAGAATTAACTGTTCCAGGAAACGAATCTGCTAAAACGCCTTCATTGAGGTGAAAATGCCCCTTTAATCGAGCGCAAATATATCAGATGCCCCTCTCTATAACCTGCTCCTCAACACAACACACTTGCTTGTATGGTTCCCAAAGATCTTGTTGCACACAGAGAGGATCTGCTGTACTAAAGAGGACTCATCAAAGCTGTGTATCGCTGTCTTACAACCAGCCAATGTGTCCGAATACCAAAGCAATATATCCTACCTTACTGTAACCGTATTCTTACATTCCAATGTTGTGCGGATTTCCCCCCCACCTTTTATTATGTCGCCAGTATTCTCCCAGTTATATTATTGTAGCTAACAAAACTAGTGAATGCCATATTGTAGTGATATTTTTGTAAAAACAAAGCCTTTCGTAATAGTTCTACTTTATTGGATTTCATTCTGAGATTTTTGTATAGTATTGTACATGGACTTAATTAAATGTATTATTTATTTAATACCAAGCAATCTGTTTTCATTTGAAATGTGATGGCAGCATTGCCAAAATCATCAAAGTTAACTTATTAGATGGCACAATTTCTTCCGCAGTTGCCCTGCTGCCAGCACTTTTTTTACCTTTTTTTCTTAAATCCTTAAAATGTCCTCTGCCAGATTCAGAGAATGTTCTCCCTGGGCCAGTCAATTTTGTAACTTCTCAGATCATGCAAAGTGATGTTGAACCAAACCTCAGTATTACTGTGGAGTCCTGGGGTGTATTGGTTAGAACACTCGCCTCGCAAGCAAGAGGACCCGGGTTTAATTCCCAGGCGAGATGAAACCTTAGGCAAGTTTCCTTACTCCACATGCCTCTGTTTATGTAGCAGTAAGTAGGGCCCTGGTTGTTAATCAATTGGCGAATCACTTTCTGGGTGGTTGAAACCATGGCCGCCATTGGCGGAACGGAGGGGAACATGTCCGTCATTCTTGCTGGGGCAAACTCTATTTTCTACTTGAGAATAGGGGGTGGGGGGCCAGCACACAGCCTTCATGTCATCCCTAGCACGGAGCAATTTTACAAACTGTTTCCTCCCAGCTTGTCACCAACCAGCAGCTTTACTTCCATGACATGGAACCAGTGATCGATATTAGTAAGAGTACGTGGATATACCTCCCCAATAATATATCGGGTTATAGCAATGAATGATTTGCTTGTATGCTAGGGAATGGCAGCAGGCATTGATTAATAAGAGGAACCAGAACTGAGTCAGTGTTATGAGATTCGGCTCCTTTGATTAGTTGTGAATAAGCAAATGTAAATTACAATACAATTTACACTTGTTTAGCATTTGGAAGTCTCCAGGAGAAGACAGGTTACAGCCTCCTCAGAATGACTGGAAAACAAGTTCCATGGACAGTTGGATAGATCAGTAGTGCCAGAAATCTGAAAGCTTTGGTATATTAGATCCTGGAATAGTGATTGAATGAACCCTCACAGTGTGACCATAGTTGTAATGCTTACCCGTCCATAATCCATTTAATCTGTTCTCACCAAAATTTTCTTACTGAACTGGGCATACATTTTGCACAAATCATAAAATAGCCAGCTTAGCAAAGGCTGATAAGATTGGTTTATTGGTGTGTTGTAATAATTTATGCTCTTCCCCTTTTTGAGCACTTCCTCTAAGTCAGGCATTGTTTCCTATATAAAACCATGGGCAGTTGATCTGTTGTAGTTCTGGCAACACAGGTTATCAGACCTGCTTTGATCATGTCTATGGTTAAATTCCTTCTTGCCCCGGCTCGGCGTCAAGCTCTGCCAATGTTAAGCACTCCAAGGTGCTATCTAGCATGAAGAGCACAATATAAATGTGTTGTTGAGTTACACAAGAAAATCCAAATCCAATTTCACCTTCTTCCTTAGTAGATGCTTTAAATTTAGGTGAGATATGCACTTGTGTCGTTTACATTCAATAATCTGGTCTCAGTAGAGGAAATCACAAGCAGGCAGAGAAAAAACAAACCTACCAGCTCAAACTTCGTAACTTGCTATTGCCAATGCAGTCTGGCAAGATTCCTGCTGCTTTTCCAGCTAGGACCATCCTGCACACAGTATTGACATTTTCACTTGCAATGTTAACAGGAGTCAAGTGAGAAGATCACTGCCCTCAGTAAGTGGTGTTCTCCTTCAAGTGCTATCAACAAGCCAGTCTGGCTAGTCTTATAAACAGTGCCTTAGAGTACTCTGGTGTCCTGTAGCTCAATGGTTAGAGCAATCACCTCACAAGCGAGAGACAAAGGTTCGATTCCCAGCAGGGCGAAATGTTGGGCAAGTTTCCTTACTGCACACACCTCTGTTTACCTAGCAGTTAGTAAGAACCCGGTTGTTAGTCGATTGTTGGATCGCTTTTCTGGAGGTAATAATTCCTTCAAAAAAATTAATAAATTGGTCACTCAATCCACGACTGTTTGTGGGACACTGATGTGTGCAATTGACTGCTGCGTTTCACCCACAGAATATACAGTCAATTCACTTTGCAGTATATTCTGTGAAGCGCTTTGAGAAGTCTCGAAGACGTGACAAGGCGCTGTATCAAATGCAAGGTTTATTATCTGTTTGAGGAACTAGACTATCAAAACTACCCTGGAGGACTAAGCCGATTCAGATATTCCATTGCCAGGTACATGAGCCAGAGACGAACCCGAGTCTTTTAAATCCTGGAGGGGCTCAGTGGTCAAGATCTGGATCTGAACACTCAGTGTGAGATTGTAAAGCAGCCAAAGGACATGATTATAAATCAAGTAATCCATCAATTAACTGGAGCTTAAGAAGTAAATGATATGGATTTATTCTTTTGTAGATTTCCTGCTAGAATATCGACTGAATGAGCCCAGGACAAAACGTACATTTCCCCTGTCTACACCTTGTTTATCCCTGCTTCTATCTCTCTGCCTCAACCCCCTCATAATCTATGTTTAAATCCAACTTCAACCCCACCTCTCGTCGCCTCTGCCTCCCCCTTCTCCCTTGTTTGGCATCCAATCCTGCCAATGTACAGTGTTCCGAGAAGTTATCATACATGAGGGATGTATATAAATGCATGTCGTTGGTTAATTTCTTCTCACCAATATTTTCTTAACAAAATAGGACACGTTTCGTGGGACAGATGACCAGGCCAGGAGAGGGTGATTACTCTGCCAGAGGCTTCCAGTAGAGCCATTAGGAACAAAAGACCTGGTTTATATTTCCCTCTCCAAAATCTCATTGGCTGAGGCTTGAGGAGAGCTCAGCTGATGATCCCTGGCTAGTTCATTTTTATGTCATTGAAGAGCTCCGAGGGTGACTAAAATGGCCTTTATATGTTCTTAATCATTCAAATTATACAGTCAATTCACTTTACAGTATAATCTGTGAAGCGCTTTGAGAAGTCTCGAAGATGTGTTAAGGCACTACATCAAATGTAAGGACTATCATTATTATTATAATCACTTTTGCAAACAAATCTCACCTCAGCTGAAGGTTAGAGGATCTGGAGAATGACCACTGTCTGGAGTCTGGAGCCACTAGACTGGCAAATTTGCAAGGAATACATTATGAAATGTCAGAAATTTCACCCTGTTATTTCTGTCCCACACATATTATTAGAAATATATTGGCCTTAAGTTTGCAAATATATAGGTGGAATTCTTCCTCCCCTATTCTAGATTAATAGGGAAAATCTCTTCTCCAATAAAATTTTGAATTTTCCCATGTCTTGAATGAAAGTGCAGATACCTGCGAGATTGTCTTGCTCATTGTTCAAAGGGCTCGGGGGGGAGATCTATTAGAGCCCTGAGCGCAGACTCAGGCGTGCTTAGCTTTGGAGAACTGGAGGTCACTGGATTGTCTCCTGTGTCTGATGGCAGAGGCCAGCCACATTGCTGCTGACTGCCAGCAATATAAACAACGCTACTCCTCTGAAGTTAGACTACTTCCTCGTCTGATGTGGAAAGTGAGGCAGGTGCAGGGTAGCCATGGCTATGGAAAAAAGATCTGATAAATAGCAACCTTGTTCTGAGAGTGCATTTTTGGAAGCGAGCAACAAAAGTGGTCACTGGCTGCTTATATAGTGGAACAGATCCAATCCGATCGCACAGGTCAGTTAGCCCATAATTGGCCTTACTTCCAACAGCACTCCCTGGAGTGGGGACAGAGAGCCATTTTACGTAGCAATGGAACTCTGGATCCAAACAACCCTTCTCATCCTGTGAGATCTGGGGGAGACTATGACTAAAGCTCGGGTTCATGCACTGACTGCTTGGGCTCGATGTGATAAAAGAACACTATGGCTGGTAGACTTGTTTTGCTGGTGTCATTTGAAACACAGGTTAGATAGTTTTCTTTTAGGAAATAACATCATGGGTAGTTTGGGACATATGTGCATGCGACCACCAGGAAGATGGAAGACGAACTAGATGGATCTTGGTTCTTTTTTTGTCTAACATTTCTTAGGTACTTATGTTCTTATTTACAAATATATGCTTATTAAGAAACGTTAAAGGGATTGTCCTTGTAAAAAAAAATCAAATTTTTTTTAAGTTTGCTTGCAAAAAAATACTCAACCTGTATTGGCTGACCTGGCCATAGGTTCAGTGCAGAGAAGAGCAACAAGGAAAATATCCAGTGTTGGAGCAAAGAACTGTGATTAATGATAAGGCAGGCCAATGGTCTTTAGTCTTTAAGAGAGATGACTCGGGGAGGGGAGGAGCGTTATAAAGATACAAAAGGTTTTAAATGGGATTGAGAAAGTAAATTCAGAACAACAGAATCATACTTTCAGATGTGCCCAAACAGCAGAACAAAAGAGGGCAAGAGAGCCACCAGGAAATATTTCTTTACCCAGGAGGTAATTAAAGACTAGAACAGATAACCAGGAGTGGGCATTGAAGCCAGGTCACTGGAGTCATTTAATAACAGTTCAATGCTCTGATGGGAGGAAGGTGAAGGAGATCAATTGGGCCGAAGGGCTTTCTTCATCTAAACCAATCTTGTGATCTTGTGAAATTGTGTCCCTTACCTCCTACCCACTCATAGAAAATATTGGGATGAAAATAATTTGTGATTTTTCAAGCTCTTCACCAATGCAATCATTGGTGCAATGGCACTGCTGCATTGAAATTAACCATTTGAAAGTTTGTTCGTTATAGATTTTTCTTCGTATAGCGCTTTGCAACCTCTCACATTTTATCTTCTTAATTTCTCAAAGCCATGTCAGGCAAAAGCCATTGTGGTTTAAGGATGGCTCCAGCCTCTGACCCTGTGATGGGCATTCTGCCAATCTTGGATATCTTATAATTTCAGATCACTTTATATTCATAGAAAAAATTAAATGACCTTATAAATTTATTGTGGGTTATTCATTAGATATTGCTGCTTTCTCTTTTGACCTCTATGCAGGATGGCAAATAAGCAACTCTCCCCCCAAAAAACCTTCCTCGATCGTGTCAGACCCTACTTTCTTTGCCTTGTTGATCTATCGCAAGCTCA